TTCTCGTCACCTGGTGACAAGAAGCATGGAGACGGCTTCCCTGCTAATCGGGAAGCCGGGTGGCGAGTCATCACACGGCGCCTGGCTTCCTTACTGGGACTTCCGGAAACAAATATCGGTACTCGATACCGAAATACCAGTATCTGTGCATCCCTAATGGCAGCCCTGAGCACTGCAACCTGATTGGCTTACAGTGCTGCCCCGCCCCCACAGGACTGGTGTACCGGGGATTATAGGGGGCTGATACACAGAATAATGTACGGATACAAAAGAGCTTCCGATCTGCCGATATTAAAGCGCACTTTGTGGTGACGCGCGCATTGTTGGGTGTATGAGCCGGGATGCGGCGTCCTGTCGGCGGGTGTAATGGAGGCCGGGGGAGCAACGGGCAGTCCGAGGCCTCATTCTCTGTGACCTCTGTGTATGTATGCAATGTATGTATCCAGCGGTGACAACACGCACAGAGCGCAGCACGCGGAGGATCTAATAATAGGACATCGCCGTCCCTCACACACAGTCCCGGCACACGGGACCAGACAATTCCCCGACATCATGAGGAGGAACATTTCATATGATCGGTGTCACCGGGGAGAGGAATGAAATGAGGCCGCTGGTCTCCGGGCACGCAGCACAATGTGATAACCAGAAGGAGATCATTACAGGCGGGCCGCAGCTTCCTGTCTGATATCGGGCAGGAAATGTGCGGCTTCTGGGGGACACCAAATGTCTTCCAGCAACTACAGGACACCAGGAAGCATCCTGAGCTACAAATCCCACCAGACACCAATGCCTGCACACCAGACATGTGACCCTCCCAACCTGCTTCACCAGACCCGTGACCCCCCAATCTGCACCACCAGACCCGTGACCCCCCAATCTGCACCACCAGACCCGTGACCCTCCCAACCTGCATCACCAGACCCGTGACCTCCCAACCTGCATCACCAGACCCGTGACCCTCCCAATCTGTGGCGGCACAGGGCGAGATGTGAAGAGGCGACGGCGGCACAGGGCGAGATGTGAAGAGACGGCGGCACGGCACCTTCTGCACGAGGAAGGAGATTTAACCCCGTGCTGGCTGCACGCTTCATGGAGAGTGAGAACTCAGCAGGACGCCATTGTGCACAACAGCTGCAGACCTTTTCTTCGCTCTGTGGTCACATGACTGAACTTTCCGCCACGGCAAAGGAGACCATCAATTACAGAATGTTTATACGAGGCGGACTGCGTGGAACCGCCAGCCGGACGGAGGTGACAGACACGCCAGGAAGGAGCTCTGAACACACCTCCAGACCGCCGGGGAACTACAAATCTCAGCACAGCACGCTGGGAACAATTCCACTACAACAAGCTTGGCCCCCTTCCCGGATTTCATACAGAAGACAGAACCCAGAGCAGGAAT